TGGGTAACGCAAAGGCAGAGGGCAGTACAGGGGTGGGCGGGGCAGAGGGCAGTACAGGAGTGGGCGGGGCAGAGGAGTGGGAGGTGCAAAGGCAGAGGGCGGCAGAGGAATGGGCGGGTTGGGAAGGAGGAGGTGAATAACAGCAGGTGACGGCAGGCAAACCCATCTAAAGCGAAGACATTATGAATAAATGCTGCCGGCTGCCGCAGAGAACCCATGAGCACAGCAGAGTTTTGCAACTCCTTCTTTCTAGGTGACTCCGGTGGTTCCCCTGTCAAATGACTCGTGGTCCATGTCCTTCGCCAAATACCTGGAGCTCCGCTTCTACGGTCACCAGTACACACGGCGCGCCAACGCCGAACCCTGCGGCCACTCCATGCACAAGGATTACCACCAGTACTTCTCCTACAACCAGATGGTGGCCTCCTTCAGGTCAGCCTCCTCCCATCTTCCCCAGCTACATATTATTGCATCAATACTAACCACCGTATAAAAATCAACTCCAGATCAATCGGTGTGTTGCAGCTCTGTACTTTTTAAATTATGGAGGGTTCATGCATGATGATTTGAGTTACTTAATTAAGTTTGAAGCCTTTATAGAGCTGCAGAGTTTGCTTTAATGTAGTAGCTGTGGGATGCTCATGTTTTTGTGTCCTGCTGTGGTTTCCTTCCTGCCCTGTGTGACTCTTAGCTACACTCATGTAAGACTGCTGGAGATCTGCCTTCCTCCGCCCAAGATCTACATCAAACACCAGGGCCCCTCCAAGACCACGCTGCTGCAGGATCTCAAAGACTTCTCCCAGAAGTACGTGCTTTCTTGTTTATTTTTACTTTCTAGATTGCTTGGTCATCCTTTGAGAAACGTCCCACAGACCAGGCTGGCTTTCCTTGGTTCCCTTGAAAGCTCAGAGGAACTGTCTGCCGTTTTCTGCTCTGTTCCCAGAAGCAGCTCTGAGGCCACACTTTCTGTTAACGCTGTGAAACCAGCTCTGAGGAGGAAGTGATGTCGTTGGATGTGGCTTTGTCACGTTTTTTTTCGCTTGTGTCCCTCACTGGCCCTGTGCTCTGTCCCCAGGGTGTCCCAGGTCTATCTGGTCATAGACGACCGCCTCACGTCCTTGAAGACCGACACTTTCAGCAAGACGCGGGAGGAGAAGATGGAAGACTTGTTCGCCCAGAAAGACGTAATTTCCTTTTCTAGACGTTTGTGATTTTTTTTTTTAAGTGCTGGGCCGTGTGGTGCAGTGGTCAGGCTTGTGCGATCGAATCAGAGGTGAGCTACTGCTGTGGTACTCCTGAGCAAAAACTTCACCCACGTTCTGGAGCTCCAGTACAATAGCCAGCTGTAGAAATGGTGATACACAGCAAGTGTAAGTTAATTAGGATAAAAGCAAACCAAATTAATTTGGATTTTTGCGTTATGAAACCATTATAAAGTAGGGTCTCTGCCCCGAACCCTTGTGAATGTAGAGAACTGTCACGAACAGCCACATTTGCATGTAATCAAGTCTGTACTGTTACATAATGTACTACAGCGTGCATATATAGTACGTAAGTAACCCTCCTTGACATGATGAGGTATTAATGCCTTGGCTTTCTGTTAATTTAAATAACATTGATCAACTAAAAGTAATCCCAAACTTACATCAATCATGATAATTTCATGAATGAGGCAAATAAACAGGAGTTCCTCCTCTGCATCCAGCCTGTACTCTCTGTCTGGCTCTGTGATCGGCCCACCCCACTGTAAAGAAACAGGCAGTAAAGCTGTCGGAGGGCTTGTAGCGCTGTCTCCGGTCTATCGATCCCCACGCTGCCGACAGAGCCAGGACCTGCAGAAACAAGGGCCGGCTGGCATGCAGATGCTGTGTAGAGGGTATCTGGGCAGGGGGCCGGGGGTGACTCTCTCACCAGCTGTATTCCCCTCACAATTGCAGTCTCAGTCGCCAACGTGAAAATTGCGGTTAACAGCCGTCAGCTTGGTTTAACCCAGTTCTGCTCTTTTTTTCCCATAGACCCTGTTGGCCAGACTGAAGTTTTAAATGTTAAATTTGCACGTCGAGACCCTACAGTATATACATAATTAATAAAGTTGGAACAAGTAAAGGTTTATTCCAGGCTGAAAAGAGAAGAAAGGAAACGTTTCGGCTGTGGAGCCTTCTTCAGGTGTGACACACAGCTGAAACGTTGTTTCCTTTTCTTCTCCTTTCGGCAGCCTGCGCATGCTGATGCAGCTGCCTACTTGTATTAATCATTTGACCTTTAATCACCTGATTCGAATTATTTCCTTAATTGTGCTAAGTAAACTGGGGGTACACATTACTATTTCATGCACAGATTTTTATTTTATTTCCATTTCATGCACCGTGGTATCTTAAAAAAAAAAACAAAAAAACACCAGATTGGTAAATTCTTACCCTCTGGCTCTCGAGGAACGGGGCGTGATCGTGCTGGGGCCAGCGAGCTGGCTCCCGGCCCGGCCCGTGTCCGTTGCCAATCGCAGTGGGTTGACGCGCCGTCCTGCGTCCGCAGATGGAGGAGGCGGAGCTGCGCAACTGGATCGAGAAGCTGCAGGCGCGCCTGCTGTCCTGCGGCCTGGACTCCCCCCAGCAGCTGCAGGCCGGGCTGGAGTCCGTGGTGGCGAAGAAGCAGGGCCTGTGCGAGATGCTGCAGTCCTGGAACACCCGGTGAGGAGGAGGAGGAGGAGGAGGAGGAGGATAGATCGCTCCCCGTAGCGGCCCTCGCTTAAGACGAAAAAACCGTCTGCCGAAATACTTCCCGAATGAGGTTTCCTGGCTCTGCCTCAAGTCGGGCCCCAGGCTCTCTCCCCCCCCATCCCATGACGGTAAAGAAGAAAATCTCTCTTAATTAGATACCGTCTCCCAGTCACTCGCCTGATGATGCCTCTAGTTCCAGTTAGCAGGGTTCGAGTCAGGACCCTGATGTCCTCCTCTGCGCTCCGTCGCGGAGAGAGCCTCACGGCGCCCTGTTTCCCTCGCAGGCTGCAGGACCTGTTCCAGCAGGAGAAGGGCAGGAAGCGGCCGTCGGTCCCGCCCAGCCCGGGGAAACACCGGCAGACCGAGGAGAGCAAGGTCAGCAGGGGTCGTCTGGGCGAGGGCCAGGGGGGGGTCCCAGAGGCACGAGCGGTGGCCGCAGGCCAGATCTTATTGGTCTCACGGTCTCCCTTTCAGGACGCATGTCTTGCAAACGCATACGCTTCCGTTAGCTTCTTCTGGTCCCTCTTGCTGACATTGGTTGCGTTCCAGAGCTTGGCTCGTAAAGGTCGAGAAACGGGCAGGTGTTGCCCGTCCGCTGCTCTTCCGGCAGGGGCGAGGCATCGTGTGCCCAGTGGAACGGGCAGCGTCCAGGTGACCGTGTCCTCTTTCGTCTGACTTTCGGGCTTCTGGGAACACTGGTCACCTTCCCGTAGAGAGTGAACACGCGACTCTCCCGTGTCTTCGCAGACGAGCGTCCTGGAGTCGTCCCCACGCAACCCCTCCCCCGTCGTGCAGAAGGAAGAGAAAGGTGAGGGCAGGTCCGGTTCGGCGGTCGTCTTGGTTTCAGGGCACCTGGCTTCGTTTCCCCGCTGTCTGCCGCTCTCCCCAGTCTCCCGCCAAGACCCCCCCCCCAGGCCAAGGGCCACGAGGGACGTTATTGGACCTAAGTGGCCCTTGAGTATGCGACTGGCTGACCGATTCCAAAATCTGTAGGACAGCCAAGCTCTGCTCCACTGGTCACGACTGGTGTCAGCTGAACTCGCCCCCTTTCCCAGGCTCCACGCCGGAGGAATCATTCTTCTTTTGTGTCTCTGTGTGTCCTGTGCGTCAGAGGACCGCCACCTGACCAACATGTCCTCCAGCGTGACCTCGTCCTCCGCGCTCCAGCTGCCGTCGCCGGGGGACGCCGGCTCCGAGCCTCCGTCGGCCGGCCCCTCCTTCCCCGGCGCGGCTGGGCCCGGCGACCTGGACTCCGCCAGCTTGACAGAGGGTGCGTACCGCGCCGGGCGCCGGGCGCCGGGCTCTGCCCGTGGGTGCGCCGTCTCTGACGGACGGTCTGTCCTCTCTAGACGTGTTCGACGGGCACCTGCTGGGCTCTGGCGACAGCCAGCTGAAGGAGAGGTCCACCATGAAGGCCATCCTTGCAAACCTGCTCCCGGGAAACAGCTACAACCCCATTCCTTTCCCCTTGTAAGTTATTTTACTCTCATGTCCGATTGTTAGGGCTCTGACAGACTCTGCACAGGAACCTTGGAACGTCTGATAAGCCGTGTTTACTTGGCGGACGACGCCCGCAGATATTCCTTGCCTCGGCCGACCTCGCTGGGCTGCCCGAGCGCTGTCTTCGGGCAGGCGGGGGCCCGCGGGGCGCGCGCGCGCGCGGTGGGCTTGCTGGAGGGCCGGCGTGCTCAGCGGCCTGCCTGCCTGTGTTTTGTCGTGTTTGTGGCAGTGACCCGGACAAGCACTACCTGATGTACGAGCACGAGAGGGTGCCCATCGCCGTGTGCGAGAGAGAGCCCAGCTCCATCATCGCCTTCGCTCTCAGGTATGGACCTGCACTCGTCTCCCTGTGGGGGCTGGAGCCCCTCTCCCCTGTCCCTCAGTTTGCCTGGCCTGTGGAGGGGGGGGCCGGGGGCCTGAGAGCCCGGGGGAGGGCGTGAGTTTGGGTCTGAGGGCCTGAGAGGGTGCAGTAAGTGCCTTGTTTGCCACCCTGATGACGCTCCGTCTCCTCAGCTGTAAAGAGTACAAGATGGCCCTGGAGGAGCTCGCCAAACCCGCCGCGAAGACCACAGCAGAGGAGCCAGCGCCTCCCGGCAGGTAGGGCTCACGGCACCTCCAGCCCTGCCTGGTTTTCATGACGCCTTTCTGGCCAGGTCTCGGCAGCTCAGCAAAGCAGGGCCTGGCCAGAGCTGGGCTGGGACACCTGCAAGCCAAGCCAGGCTGCTGCTGCTGTTGGTTCCCTCTGGACCAGAATTTCCACATCAGCGTCCCAGTGAGCTGTAGAAGGCGCTGCCCTGCGTGGACATTAAAATGAGGTCCTGACTACTTTGCTATTAGAGGTCCCATGGTGCAATAACTACGGAAGGGGTGTAAACCCCAGTGTTGATGTATAATGCCAGGAAGAATTGAACAGCCTGTCCTTCTTCAAGTTCCTCCTTCAATCACCTGGTGCAGCAGTTTCTCACTACTCCCCTCATCTGCTGTTCAGCGGGGCCGCTGATGCACAGTGACTGCTGTGTCCCACAGGTCATACTGCTCTTTGGAAATGGATGAATTGGTACCCTCCCATAAAGGACTCCCCAAACTACACAGGGGATTCTCTGGGATGGAAAGCTCACAATAAACGCAATTATGATCAAGTCATTTCCAGGATTGTTAAATAAAATAAATAATTAAGCGGATCATGGTTCTGCAATTACTACAGAAGTGTTTGTAGACTAACAACGCGAGGCGCTTGACTCTGTTTGTGTTGGGCTGCAGTGCTGGAGAGGGACGACTGAAGATGAGCAGCCCTGCCAAACAGAATGACACAGCAGCAACCCAGCTGGGCCGCAACGTGGAGACAGACACCCTCAGTGAGTGTGACCCCTGCCCCCTGTGTGACCTCTCCTGAGTGCTTCTACGCAGTCAGTGACCCCTCTCACTGTGAACAACCCCAGCTACCTGGGAGAGCTCCAGGCAGAGTGTTACCCTTCTAGTTGGTAAATCAGAAGCTCATTCTACAGCTGTAAAGACCAGAGCTCTTGCCTGTTGCCGATTCTTTCTTTTGGCCTCTTGCCCTCGGTTTCAGAAGACGGCGACGCAGGAGACAAGCAGAAGAAGCAAGCAGGGAACCCACACATCGAGCTTCGTGAGTGTCTGACCCCCGCCTGCTCCACCCCTCCCGGCCAGATCGTCCTCGCCGCTCAGGTACAAATCCCCCCAGCTTAAAACTCCCCTGTGACGTGCTTCTCCTCCCAGAGTTCTCGGACGCCAACGCCAAGTTCTACTGCCGCATCTACTTCGCTGAGGAGTTCCACGCCATGAGGGCGGAGGTCATGCAGAGCAGCAAGGAGGACTTTGTGCGCTCGCTCTCGCGCTGCGTCAACTGGCAGGCCCGCGGGGGCAAGTCGGGGGCCGTCTTCTACGCCACCGAAGGTAAGGACCGCCCATGGCATCCTGCGTGGCTCGTGCTGCCCTGTGAGCTCGCCGGTTCGGGTTCGGGTGGCGTCCCCAGCCGACTGTCGCAGCGACCGGTCAGACGCGGCGGCGCGGCTCGGACTGGCGCCGCAGAGGTGTGGGGGCGAGTCGTTCAGGACCGCTGGCTTGAGGAACGCCTCTCCTCCAATCGGATCAGTGTCGTGCCCCTGCACGGAGCTGCGTTTCCTGCGACGTGAGACAAGACGAGTGGCGCAAACACAGGCGGCGTCACGGCCTCTTCCTCCCCGTGTGCGGGGACGAGGTTCGAAGCCATGAGCCGGGGTGTGAAAAACACACGACTGGCCCCGTCTAAACTTGAAAAAAGGTTCCTTACCCGGCAGCTGGCCCGGGCAATGTATTCTCCCGGAATTTTTAGTTCCGGCACATTGTGGGGCCGGTGTTTAGCCAGATTGCACGCACGAACGCTGGGGTGCAGTAGGTACACATTGAAACTCCCCTCGGTGACCTGTGTGGGCCGCCCTGACGCTCTCTCCTCTGCTCTGTCTAGACGACCGGTTTATCCTGAAGCAGATGCCCCGGCTGGAGGTGCAGTCCTTCCTGGACTTCGCTCCCCACTATTTTACCTACATTACAGGCGCCGTGCAGCAGAAGGTATTTCCCTCTCGCCTTTCCTCTCCACTCGGTGGTCTAGTGCTGTCATTGTGCAGCAGGAACAAGCTGTTGCAGCCAGAGCTCAGACCATTGTATCACCCACTGACCCTGAAGAAGTCTGGACCACTGCAGTGTTGACGGCCTTCCGTATCGGCCAACGGTGATCGTTTATAACGTGTTTCAGAGACCGACTGCCCTTGCCAAGATCCTAGGGGTCTATCGGATTGGCTACAAAAACTCCCAGAACAACACGGAGAAGAAGCTGGATCTGCTGGTCATGGAGAACCTTTTCTACGGGCGGAAAATGGCTCAGGTGAGCACGCGATGCCCTCCTTGGGTCCTGGCCCGCTCGGTGCACCTCGGCTGCTCTGCCGCCGCCACCGCGAGGCCAGTTGACGGTGCCTCCCCGCGCTGACCTCTGACCTTTGCCCCCCAGGTGTTCGACCTGAAGGGCTCGCTGCGGAACCGCAACGTGAAGACGGACTCGGGGAAGGAGAGCTGCGAGGTGGTGCTGCTGGACGAGAACCTGCTCAAGCTGGTGCACGACAGCCCGCTGTACATCCGCTCGCACTGCAAGGCCATCCTGCGCGCCTCCATCCACAGCGACGCCTACTTCCTGTCCAGCCACCTCATCATCGACTACTCGCTGCTGGTGGGCCGCGACGACACCACGGACGAGCTCGTCGTGGGCATCATCGGTACGCCTGCACACGCGCCCTGCCACTAGGCGCCAATTTCCTTTACTGCTGCCCCCTCTGAACTTCACCTGCCCCCCCCCCCGCCCAGAGTATATCTCTTCACACAAAGGGTTGTTGGGGAGTGGAACAAGCAATCCAGCCGTGTTATTGAAGCCAAAGCCCTGGTTTCTTTCGAGAGAGAGCTGGATGAGTTTTTCGGGTAAAGTTTTTTCTAGCTACGAGAAAGAGAGAGTGGGCGGGCTGCGTGGCCCCGTCTCGTTTGTAACTGTTGTTGCTTTCTCGTGGTCTCGTGTCTGTTTAGCTCTCGCCTACACGGCGCATCAGGGGAAAATGGGTCGTCCCATTCCTTGGGGAGAGGGGTGTTCACGTCGAGTTGACTGCAGCTCCCAGGCACACTTGTTTCTAAACCCGTCTTCATCCCTCACTCATGACAGACGTGTGCGCACTGGGCTGCTCAGGGGTCAGGGCTCTGCTCTGCCAGCAGATCTAGGCTAGGGGGTCAACCAGGTCTTTGAGGGGATTCAGTTGCACCCCTGTTCTCCAGGGATCAGATGGCTGCTTCCTTCCCCCCCCACAGCAACCTGTGACTGACTCGTTTGCTTTTTCTTTCCAAAGATTATATCCGGACATTCACATGGGACAAGAAACTGGAAATGGTTGTAAAATCCACAGGAATCCTGGGGGGCCAAGGTAACTGGTTCTGTCTCATTGATTGTCTGTTTCAATGTCCTGAAGTCACCTCATTTTAAAATTTGTTGCTTTTCACTGTCGTTATCCTTTTCTAAAGCTAATCAGGGTGCCAAACTTAAGCAGGTTTGTCTGCTTCAGTTCCCTGGCTTTGGAAGTTAGTTTTTTAGTTTATGAATTAAACAGTCTTGGAGATTTGAATTTAGAAGAGGCCTTAGCCATTGACCCAGTGATACTTTGTGTGTGTTTGTTAATATCGGTGCCACACAAAAGTGTGCAGATCACACTGGAGTTGTCTTTCCAACCAGGGGAAAAGGCAGCCAGGGAAAAGTACCATTTTAAATACTTCTGCTATAAAACTGGTTCTTTTGTATCTGTCTCGACCATCACCCGTTTTGGGTTGTATCTCTTCTTGACCGTGTTTTACTCGATTTCTTGAGGATTACAAACTCCAGGACATAGATGTCTGACCATTTTTGTATTTCGTCTTTTTTTTTTTCCTCATGGTGTCTGTGAAATAGAAGTGCTCTTAAAACCCCTTCAAATTAGGACGTAAAGTATAAAGCTGCGCACTAGGTGGCGCCACTGTGCGGGTACTGAATTGGTCACTGTGCAGTTTGCAGAGAGGGTGTAAGGTGGCTTGTGTAAAACTGGCCCTGGTGTGAGAGTGTGTGTGCCCGTGTGATGGACTGTGATGGACAAGATGGACTGGCGTCCCGCCCAGGTTTTATCCTGCCTTGTGCCCATTGCTTGCTGGGATAGGCTCCGGCTCAAAAAAGAATGGACGTAACCGGTTCTGACATTAAAGAGGTGCTTCTGTTTTGTTACCAGGCAAAATGCCGACGGTGGTCTCCCCTGAACTCTACAGGGCCCGGTTCTGTGAAGCCATGGATAAGTACTTTCTCATGGTTCCGGACCACTGGACCGGACTCGGCGTGAACTGCTGAACACGAGGGACGCCACAGGAAGGAGGCAACTGGATTCACTTGAAATTTCACTCGGACAGAAAGCTAGACTTCAGTTTTGCATCGGAAATGCTGTACTCCTTGTCGGAAGCTGGAAAAGCACAAATGAAGCAGAGAGTTTGCGTTTTAATTTGCCACCATGTCGTGGCTCACTGAGCAGGTGAATGGAGCACCGTTCCGCAAGGTCTGCTTTGTCCTGCCGGGATCTGAAGAATCCTTATTTGGAAGGCACGGGAAATATGACCTTGCAAAGGACAAAGGTTTGCTGGAAGCTCTCTCTCGCACCAGGAGCAGCATGGCCTATCATTCCTGGAGCACACCTCTTTTTTTTTTTCTTTTCTTTTTTTTTTTAATGCACTGCTGGAGACCTCGCTGGGACAGCTGGCCGGCGGATCAGGCTCACTGGGTGATCATGTGCTCGGGGGAGAGCAAGACACTGGTGCATGGCAGAATGATGACGTCGCCACCAGCCTGTCCTCACCCCAGTTCAGCTGCTCTTCACTCTGTAAATCCTCAACTGGTAAGACATGATGAAAACCTGTCTTTTTATAAAAATCTGTATGTACAGAGCTTGTACACACTGTGTATTATAATAATAGGTTGTATTAAAAAACGCTTGCATCCGGGATGTTGCGGTGGCACGTTTGCTGCGATCTCGGCCCGGTTTCTGAGAATTGTTCCTTTCACGATGGGCGGTTCTCATCGTCCTCAGACTGACTCATTCCTACCAGCCAAGTGGACCTGAACCTCGCTGCTGCGGCGCCCCACTGAGGGGGATAGAGGATCGGCTCCGGTTCGCGGTCCCTTACTGCTGCACGCACCAGAGCCAGACTCCTGCGGGACACACCTTCCCAGCTCCGGCGACGCCGTGGCACAGCGTGTGGATTAGAACCTCAGGATTCCTCCGGCGTCACTCCCCGAGCGAGACGCAGCTGCTGAAAACGTCTGGGCAGAACAAAGTGCCACCAGCTCGCCTTCCCTCACGTGTGGAGGAAGGGAGTTCTGCAGCAGGGATGGCCCAGGCTGGAGCGCTGCGGCGGATCGCCTTGGACAGTTCGTTCAGTAAAACGATCGCCCTGAGTAATGAAGTCATCTGGTAGGAATAAAGAGCAGGGCTGGCCATTGATGACTCGGGAGTGTACTCCTATGTCCCGGGGGAGAGTTCGGCTCGTCCTTACTCCGATGCTTGAGTGTCGCAGAAGCTGGTCCATCTGTGAGCGGAGGGGATCTCTGCCGCGCTGCTCACGGTGAGCGCAAGAGGAAAAGGTGTGTCTGTAACGATGCCAGTAACTTTGGTGCTATACTGCACGTAATGTGTGTGTATGTATTTACAGTCTAATTTATATTCACTGTGTATCAGGGCGTGTGATAATGGGTACAGTAAGGCTCGACAGTGTGTCTCCCTCTAAACGGACACACAGATTCGGGGGTCATGGCTGTGCTCCTGCCCCACATGGGCCAGATCTTGCCCGTACACAGATTTTACGAAGGTGCTGCTGGGTTTGCAATCCAGGTTAAGCTGCACCTGAAGAACAAGGAGGAGGGATATCTTCTTGAGCAAAAAAAAAATAGATATTTTTTCATTTGATTTATAAATGAAAGAAGAATATGGATTTACATTTAGACCCTGCGTGTCAGAGCTCATATAGGCGTGAGCTCTTGCATGTATAGTCTGTATGGATTTATGAATATTAAAATAAAAAGTTAAAATAACTTTAAAAAGGGGGCCCAAATGCAAGCTGCTATTTGGTCATACAGTTTGTACTGTTGCATATGGCACCATACTATACATCCTGTCCCAGCAATCGCTGTCCATCACGCCATCCTGTCTCAGTAGGCCCATACTGTCGCATTCGCTGTCCAGCACGCCATCCTGTCCCAGCAGGCCCATACTGTCTCATGTGCTGTCCAGCACGCCATCCTGTCC